TACATGTACTTTGTATAATGATGTCCATCACATTCCACCATCCTTGCTAATCCCCTTCCCCTCCCCTTTCCCTCCCACCCCTCTTCCCTATCTAGAATTAATCTAATCCCTGGCCCTTTTTTATTTTTCATTTTGAGACAGGGTCTCATTAAGCTGCTTAGGGCCTCATTAAGTTGCTAAGGCTGGCTTTGAACTCACTATTCTCCTGCCTCAGCCTCCTTAGCTGCTGGGATTATAGGCATGTGCCACCATGCCCTGCAACAATTTGTAATATTTTGTTGTCTTTTCACCCCTGCAACTTCTAGTAGATATGAGCCCCATGAGTGCCTTGCATTTATTTTAGCTGCTGTGTTTAGTCATAGCACAGTCTTGATGTAATCAAAAAGTCTTCTTTGGTGTGATTGTATTTTGTTCTACAGTGTACAAGTAGCACTGTTATAGACATGAATTTATCCTTTGGGTCAGAACACTAAAATTCTATTGTTTTCTTAGATCCCTGCTCCGAAGAGAGGAGAAATAGTAAGGCAGATTGGCGATGCCTTGAGGGAGAAGATCCAAGTACTGGGAAACCTGGTAATGTTTTGTAGTATATATACAATCCTTGGAGTAGAGAATAAAGCTGTCATGCATATTTGATATGATTGTGATTTTTGAGTTTATACATTTCAGAATCTTTTCTTTAGAGGAAAGATTTATGAGATGGACAGTAAAAATTAAAGAAAATTCTTCAGTTTTAAAATTCTGCCGAAAAAAGGAACAGACTTTCTTCAGTTTGTTTCTGTCACAAAATAGACATGAAATAATGTTTTACTTTTGCCCACCTCAGTTTAATGTTTAAAGTGTTAATTCTGTTGGAAAAATCCTGCTTGGCTTTTTAATTTTTAGGTGTCTTTGGAGATGGGGAAAATCCTGGTGGAAGGTGTGGGAGAAGTTCAAGAGTACGTGGATATTTGTGATTATGCTGTTGGCTTGTCCCGTATGATTGGGGGACCCATCTTGCCTTCTGAAAGTAAGCCATGTGTCAGTTAAGCTGAATCTACTCTGATAGAGCTCTAGAAATGCTTTGGATGGGAATAATTTGCAAAAAAGGAATTGCAAGTGGAATGTAAATATGTGAATAGGTCTTCAATCTTTCTATGAAATGCAAATTAAGGCAAATAAAAACAAGAGATCCAGAATACCCCACCCTGACCTGCCTGCTGGGAATTGAACCTGGGCCTCACACAAAGTGGGTGCTAGGCAGGTGCTACCATTGAGCTGCATCCCCATTCCATTTTGATTTGTTGCAAAGATAAAACTCAGTGTGGTGAGTACATGAGTGGTATACTTTTAACACATCTAGAAATCAATTGGGAAATACACCCAGAGTCTTAAATTTGAAGTCAATTTTAATACTATATCTAAAATGTGACAAAAATTTATGCATAAAGGTGTTTAGCTGGTTGTGGTGGTG